TGGATGCGATTGTTGCGGAGCAGCAGTTTCTGGAGAGATGAAGTGCAATTGGACAGTTCCCGGGGAACAGTAGCCAGAAGGTTATTGCTCAGGTCCAGAGTTACTAGGTTCCTCAGAGAGGGCAGGTTTCCCCAGATGAAACTCTTCAACTGATTATTCGTTAAGTTGAGGATCCTGAGGCTGGGAGGCATTTCTTCAAAAACATTATGAGGCAAAAATCTAAGTGAGTTAAAGGAAATATCCAGTTCTTCCAGGTTGGTCAGATTCTTGAAGAAGGACAGGTATCTAGAATTGCCATCCATCCATAAAACATCTAAGCGATTTCCTCTGAATTCTAAAATTTGAAGAGATTGACTTTCCATTCCTGTATCAATAGTGGTAGAAATGTCATTCTCATTCATCATCAGCTTCTTCAAATGGGCTAGGTTTTTCATAAAATTTAGCACATGAGAAACACCTTCTGCCAGAAAATAATATTTGTTATTGCTCAGATCTAGAATTTCTAAATGTTTTAGTTCTTTGAAAGCAGTTTGGTAGAGCAAATCAACCCTGTTGTTAGAAAAATCCAGATATTTCAATCCAGACAAGTAAGAGAATTCACTTCCATTTAAAGTTTGACTTATTGCATTACCGGACAAGTTGAGACATTTGAGGGAGCTAAATCCATGAAAGTCAGAGGGGTTAACAAAAAATACATTGTTTCTGCTTAAATCCAGAGTTTTTCCATAGTTCAGGCAATCTTGTTTAACTAAAGATTGGTAGGAAGAAGCCTCTTTGTCTTTGGAATGGCAACTTCGCCCATAAAAATCATACCTGAAATAATGCATCTCTTGTTGTACTTGCCTATTGTACTGCTCGACTGAAATGTCAGGGCTAGAGCAAAACCCATAGAAGTTACTTTCCCCTGAAGAAGGAGAAATTTTATTCACTGAGAGGTCAATGAACTTAAGAGCTGGGAATTCTTCAAACACTTTCAGGTTTGCAACTTTGCAACTAATGAAATTAGTCCCGAGATCCAACATGGTCAGATTGGTAAGACTGAGGAGTGGATGTAGATCTTGTGCTCTCAGTTCTTTAAACACATAACCCTTGAGTCTCAGGGTTTCCAGGTTAGACAGAGAAGAAAATGTCTTAGAAAGATTCAAGTAAGGAGAATACACCTTCAGTTCAAAGTTAAAGGACAGATCAAGCTGCACAAGGCTGGGGATAAATGTCAAAAACTGAGCATCTCCAATCTCCCTCATGAGGAAATTTTGAGAGAGGTCAAGTTCTTTAAGATTCTTGATGTTTTTAAACCAGCTGCTGGGTATGCTCTGGAGAGAGTTACTGCGAAGCCGCAAAATTCTTAAATTTCCCAAGGAGTCAAAAGCCTTTGAATGTATCTGAATGGAGCTCTTGGGACAGGGAATGCAAGGATATGGGGCATTATAGCAACGTGGGCAATTGCCACTTAAGTCAAGAATTTCTAGGTTGGGAAGGCCACTTAAATCCTGTTCTTGAATCTCCTGAATCACGTTGTTGTAAATATACAATTCCTTTAAAGTAGACGACAAATTGGGTGGAATTTGCGTTAAGTTGTTGGACTTCAGGGATAGTATTGTCAACTTCTTCAGCCCCAGAAAGGCTGTTTTCTCAATTTCAAATGAGACATTGCACGGGTTGCGGTAGTAACAGTTCTGTCCAAGGTACAATACCTCTATGTTTCCTAGCTCTGAGAAGCTGGCTTCTTGGATAGAAAAGATACTGTTTGCTTCCAGGCTTAGCAGGGTTAAAGTAGCAGGAAGACCTCGGGGTATTTCTGCCAGCTGGTTTGCATCCAAGTACAATGACCTCAATCTTGTCAGGGCAGCAAAACTACCATCCTCAATCTTCAGGTGGTTGGTGCACACATGATCCTTGGGCCCCAGTTTGACAGGCACACAGTTGCATCTGAAGTCAATCTCCTCGAGATTTTCAAGATGATTGAAGGTTGTTGGGTAGATGTGGGGAATATGGTTAATGCTCAGGGTAAGGTTGGTAGTGTTTGCAGGGATCCCTCTGGGGACTTCTGTAAGGCGCCGGTCAGTGCAGTCCACTGCCACAGTACCTTCTGAAGATTCAACATCACAGGGTAAAGTTTTGGGGAACCAAGCCCCTGACAGCAGCATTGGGAATATGAAGAGCAAGATAAACAGCAATGCAATTGACATCTTTGTACAAGGTACCTAAAACCAAGGAAACATGGAGGTATTAGTTTAATGCAATGAGAATATTTCACCTATACACTGGGTCAGGCCAACCATAGAGTTAAATTCT